GTATGATTGGGTGCTCAAATGTAGCTCTCACAGGCGCCGGAACTGCGCGCTACATCGCGTAGTTCAGGTGGCTATGAGCTCGTATGCTTGGGTGCGAAAATGTAGCTCTCACAGGCGCCGGAACTGCGCGCTACATCGCGTAGTTCAGGTGGCTATGAGCTCGCATGCTCAAATGTAGCTCTCACAGCCATCGTAACTACGCGCTACAACACATAGTTACAATCGTAGCGTGTAGATCAATACGGCGCATCGGCCATATCGATCGTAAATCGTGATTTATGGAGAAGCATAATTGGCGACCAGCGTCCAGTGGTGTCCAGTGCCCAGTGGCATCCTCCTCGGCGTCTTTGGTGCATGAAATTGGCGTCCTCGACCTATGTTGTGCCATGCTCTACAGTCTGGAGCATCAGATTTCTGGTCATGGCCCTCATGGTGTTCCCAGTGTACTTATGTGTTTCAACTTCCAAGTGTTATTGTTGGGGATAGGTTTTATGTGTTCTTGTTCCTGCACTTTTGCAGAGCGGCCAATGTGGGGCATATTCTGGGCCAATTTGGAGCGTGTTCCAGGCCAGATTGGGGCTAGTGGATTCCACGCTGAGCTGGAGACCAGGGCTTGGGCATCTCCCACACTCCCAGTTTAGTCTAGAGACTATTTCTCATTTCTGTACCACAGTACCCTGCCAGTTGGCCTGTCGAGTCTCCCCCACTGCTCATTGCAAGTAAGACAACTGCCTTCTCATTTCCTCTGCATTACGGACATTGCCTGTTGGACACAACCAGGCCCGATCCAGGACCAATTTTCAAGACCATTATGATTAGGTATATCTCTTTTGCTACTTTGATCTGATCTAGTTCATTCATTATTATCCCGGCCCAGTTTCCGTCAATTACCAGTTATTCTTGTTAATCTGTTCTGTTCAATCCAGTTTGGGCTGCTGGTTATTCATGTTCTCATGCTAGGTTCACCCCATGATCCCATCACTCATAGCCCTGGGCTGTCCCATCTTCACTAACCATCATCATCATATTTCACCGTCATGTACCACTGATTCTATTTAATATATTTTTGCCTGGTTCTTCCTCTGTTTGATCTACTGAGTTTGTTTTTATTCTGTTCCCTGTGCTGGTACTATACCGGCCGGACCGTCGACCTTTAGAGGGGCTGACCCCCAACAATATATGAGCTACGGATCAGGCGGCAACGTACTTTGCGGTTGCCTTGCGTCTGTCATCCGATGATCCGATGTCTGTCCGACGGTTTGAATTTTTGATGACAGACAGACAGACACGATACGAAGCTAAGAAAAAGTGGTAATTATAACGAAATTAGAAAAAATTCCTACTATAGTTTGTAGATCTTTTCCTTGCGAATAGAAGTTATATATCTTATTGTTGTAGGCTTGTAGCTTCAAAACTGTAGGAGGAGATAGGTTTCCCGCATGGTTGACCTATATAAGGTTGACCCACGAGAAGTTCCGTCTTTCAGTTCAGCTTTCTCGTTACGTCACGTAGATCGAGAAACGTAAACAAATCTGTCATTCCCATGACGGATTGGTTGACTGGTTTGATGGCATTTCGGTGATTGGTTAATGCCCGTGACGTCACTGAGATCAGTGACGTCACAGGCGAACAACAAACTACATCCGCAAAAATGGGCTTCTGAAGGGTCAACCTTTTCCTTGTTCAACCATGGGTTTGCCGTGAGAAAGGTAGGAGGTTTTCAGTAGAGGCGATAAACCGCCCACTGACGGCGCGCGCTATGTAAAGGCATGTAACGTAGCTTAGATACCGAAAGTAAGCGTTATCTCACGTCAAACTCACTCAGCGGTGCATAGAATGATGCATGAACCTTACCGCATGATGGCTGAGAGGTAACTGAGCTGCAGGTCCAGACCCGTCCAGTGATAGCAAATTAATAGTGCCTGGCCGGAATTAATTCCCCTTGACTTTTGTTAAGGGACTCCTCCCCCTCCTTACTTTCGGGATCTGTCGTAAATGCATAAATCAACGTACAGAGATTGTTCTACTACCGTTCGATGCGGTTAAGATGAGCATAAAAACCGGAAAAGCCGAAAAATTTGATTGTAGACCCAGGCGCTCCCCTTAACCACTACACCAATGACCAAATTGTCCCACGACTGAGAAAGTTTGAACTTATACTTGAATAAAAACGTCTGCTAAAAAAATCTTAATTAATTTCGCGCGTAGTGTAATTACTCGTGAGCCCCCGAAGCGCCTATATGTCCTGAAAGCATTATTTGAAATAAACATCAATCAAAAATTTGAACAAAGTAAATAAATTCATTTACAAATGGAAATATCATCATTAATCCTTAATTTAAACTCTGGTATGTTTTCTTACTACCTTCGACGCATGCCATCTTGAATTCCTCGCCTTAGATGCCCCTGACTAAGCATTCGTGGATGTTCCTCCTGGCAAGATTGAGCTCGCAAGTTGGTTACCTCAAATTAAATGGAATAGTCGCAAGGAAGATTTGCTATGAGCGTGACAGCTGAACGCTTTAGCCTTTTGTTTCCAAATGCCCCTCTGCCAAGCGTTTCTTTGGATAGCAAAGTCCATACGGGTAACCTGAAGCACGATAACCGTGAAATAATGTAGATTTTAATGTGTGTTTTCAATCAAAATGCTGATTTCAATAGAACATTTGAGGACTTTTAACCTTTTTAATATTGTATGCTGCGATTTAATTTGCACATAAAATCCCAATTTAAAGATAAGAAACTAAATAACTTGCAGAAAAGGCAAAAACACAATCTACCTGTTAATTTAGGACATTTCTTTTTGCAGATGCAGCGCACTGCTTTCGCAGAACCTTGGACGTGGACATATAATGCTTGAAGTCTACGGAGTTCGCCCCCTGACATTTAACTATAAAATCTCAGCTGTAAGTCGGCTAGACTCACTAGAGTCTGCTGCAAGACTAAATATCTTATTAGATTCAATTCACATTAGAATAAATGTGAAAAATATTGTGGATAAGTTTCAGTCAAGTAATTTTTGTCATCACTAACCTCAGCAGAGTGACATTAGGAGTGAACTTGAGCAAGCATATCCTGCTTATTCGGAGGGTGCGGCTAAACAGGAGCAGCTTCACCGTATCAATCCTGAATCTTCACATCATTTCATCCCAAATCAGGTCACATCAATAATATCTGTCCGAACGATTATCTATTGTATGCAAAATAAATAAGGTTGAGCGGTAATTACCTTTCGTGAAACGAAATAATGAGTGTTCTTACTTTCTTTAGCGCCCCTCAAGTTTTTTTCGCATCCAAATCTCAGTTTATTATAATTTCTTGGTCAGAAAATACAGAATTAAAAACTCGTTTATTTTTTACGAAACAGCTCATCACAGCAAGAACATCAAAACTACTCTGCAATGAGTCATTAAGTAGTTAAAAGTTCCTAAATATTTCAGATATTTTATTTAACTTCCGTCAGTCTATTCACAAAATTCCTCGAACTGCGCGCTTGCTTATTTTTCTGCCTACATTACATCATTATCATATATAAATATATTGACTAGCGTTCTCCTGGTGACCTAGTTTGAAAAATGTCAACCATCGAGGAAATCTTGAAAAAATATCAGACTTAAGATTTCGAACTTAAACTTAAATCACATCGCATTCTCGCTCAATTCACAACTTTAACAACAAAAAACTCATTTAAAGGTCCCAAGCATTAGTCAAAATATCCGACATAAAAACCATGATTGTAAATGTAAATTCATTATAAATTGTGACAGTGATAGCGAGTCCTCTGATAGGATTCTTATCATCCAGCAAAGTTTCTCTTGATTGCACTTCACTGATATTACGTATGTACTATAAAACATTTTTGCCTGATACTAGCAGCAATTCGGATAATTTTGGATGTAATACTATAAATACTATAAAATTAATCTAATAAATTCTAGACATTCCTATCTCTGTGTTATCAGTTTTTAGTTAACATTTTCAAATGATATTTTTGACAATTTATGATCTATTATCACGAAGTTATGCCGATGAAAGTCGAAATTAAAAAATATAATTTGAATCTAAATGAACCCCAGAAAACAATTCCGGTTGAATTTTGCTAAATTATTGTGGAAAAATCATGCAATTGCCTCAAGTTCTCGCATTTTATATTTTTATTTATTTATTTATTCGCATTTCCTTATAAAATATGTTTTGATTAATTTGAATATTTCTGTGTTCACAGATAATCCTTCTTTATAAAACATCGCCTATTTATTACAGTCTCATAAGTATATATGTATGCTATATTCAGGTGGAAAAGTTGCCGACTACTATTGCTCTGTGTTCCTTCATAAATTATGCTTTATCATTTCCATTAATAGAAACATTGCGAAATATTTTAAAGAATTTGAATTGCACTTAAACTAAGAATCGAATAGCATTTGATTATGAAACTGCAAATAATTAATAATAATATAATCAATATTATATTAAAATTAAAATAATTAATAATAATACTTCATGCAAATAATTTTAATTGCTTGCACTGCGCAGGAAAAACTTGAAACATTCGTAAAAATTATTTCGAAATGTAATGAAGAGGAAAAAGCTGCTCGTAATAAATACACGTGTAAAAAAGTGCAGTTACTAGAAATAACTTTTAGGGATTTCATGCAATATGAGGCCAAACGTTTGATTATAAAATATTGCAAAATATAATATCTACAATAATTATTGATATATAAAAAAGACATGATAATAAAGCTGTGATTAAAATATCTTGGAAAAAGTAAGTTACGTCTTAATGTTATTGTAATAAATGCAGTTACATCCAAATATTTCAAATGTGTGAATAACATTATTATGTTACCAACCCTTTGGGTCACCAACTGACCAAATTAGTTATTTAGTTATGTTATTAATTTAGTTATTATATAGTTAAGGTATCAATTACTTACAATCAACAAATCTCCTTACAATGAATGTTGACTGTTGTTGACGATTACACCATCTGTACAATTCATCCACAGTGGATTAGCAAATGCCAAAAATCGACTATTTGTCTTTTTATAACATTTATTATTCATGATTAACTATTTTCTCCATCTTGAAATTGCGTAGCTTCGTTAAGGCTAGTACCATTTAATCCTTTAAAATTATATTTAGTATGAAAATATATACAATTGCGTGCAATTCAAGAATTCTGTGTTAGATACAATAATCTGATAGCACTGTAGTACGATTCACACTTCTTATAGCAAAAACTGATTGAAGGTTTTCAGCATTAGTAAGAAAGTCTAACATAAAAACAATGAAGTTTTCTGAAAATTCATCGTAAATTGCGACAGTGAATTCAGCTATTGTAGCGCGTCCTGCAATGATCATAAACAAGATTATCGTGGTTAGCCGTAAAAATATAGTAATGATGATTCACGATCGTTTTATAATTAATTCATAAGCACAACGCTCGTTAAAAACAACTGAAAATAGTGAAACCGGGTTTAGGTTCATATCGTTCAGTTATTTAACTCATGTTATCACGGTCACCTATCGTTATTTAGTCACAACAATTACATCACTTCGGGATGGATTAGTTATTAAATAAGTTAAGCTCAGAAATGTTCAGGAGACGTGCAGTCTTCGTCATTTTATTGGACGGTTGTGGAAGTTATTATGAAATATTCCTCTAAACTTTATAAATTAATGAACTAAGACGGGTATCAATTATAGATGAATACAACTTGGAAGAAGTAATCATACTGTTAAAGTTGATTTATATATCATGTTGTCTCAAAGTCCAAACTGGAATAATTGCAAGATGAACTCTTTAATTAGTCCTTTCTATAAAGTTGCAGATAGTATTAGAGAATCTTCGATGATTCTTAATTTCTTCATTACTTAACTTTAATGAATTTTTCATTACTTAACTTTAATGAATTTTTCATTACTTAACTTTAATAGCAGCGCTTATAAAATAAAATTACAGCAAAAAATATCTTTAGCAAAATGAGCTCAATCTAATTAAACCTTATATGAACTCAGCGGCACATAAAAGCACAATGAAATTGGAAAAGTCGTAAGATGAATTAAGGGATTAATTTTGAATACATATTTGGGAGACCGAGATGAACTTCCAACCACTGTTACTGCTCGCTAACACTTATTACCTATTGCAATATATGCATATATTGCTCACATGTCGCTCATTGCTTATTGCAGTGAATGTCTTGGGCATCCCACCAGGCATGTGGTATCAAATCAACGAAATCAACTCGTAATCAACGATGTTGCTTCGTCTGTTGCTTGGCCGGGCAGTGGATAACCTTAACACTAGAACCTGTCAGGAATACACCTTGGGCCACACCTCCAGGACCACACCTCCAAGACCACACCTCTAAGACCACACCTCCAGGACCACACCTCCAGGATCACACCTTCAGGACCACACCTCCAAGACCACACCTCCACGACCACACCTCCAGGACCAAACCTCCAGGACCACACCTCCAGGACCACACCTCCAGGACCACACCTCCAGGACCACACCTTCAGGACCACACCTCCAGGACCACGCCTCCAGGACCACACCTCCAGGACCACACCTCCAGGACCAAACCTCTCGGACCACACCTTCAGGACCACACCTCCAGGGCCACACCTCCAAGACCACACCTTCAGGATCACACCTCTCTGACCACACCAGGTGGTCAGAGACACCTTTCTGACCACCACACCTTTCTGACCACACCTCTCTGACTTCCTCCAGGACCACACCTCCAGGACCGCATATCTAGTACCACAATTATGCATCACCTGCTTCCATGTCTATTCTATCTATGGCTCTTCAGAGTCAGAGGAAGTGTTGCCTATTATTTACAACTTACTGAGCCGATTCTCCATCGCAGCGACGTCGGCATGTCGTTCTAAAAAATACAGCGTTGCATTCGTAGCTCTGATACGAATAACATTTCATTACATTGCCGTTCTTGAAAAATGCGATAATATACATGTGAATGGTTTTCGGTTAGGAAATATTTTCACAATCACTGATAAAAATGTCTATTATGGATTTGTTTAGTGCGTATTCACAATTATTCGCAGTTTACTATACACTGGGAATTAGTTGTAAAAATTTATCTGTGCATGCTTCATTATTATACAAGAAAATAAAAACTTTAGGTTTATTTAATCTAGATAAACTGTACACAAGAAGTTGGCCTCAAAATTGAGGAAACAAACGTAAAATTTCTAGAGTTTTTAATGCAATGCTCCGTACAGCAAACTGCTGTACACTCACTGCCCGTGTTGAAGTGATGAGTTAGAAATTCTACAAAAAATGGTCTTAGTTTGCATTTCAGTGAAAAATACATTTGAATCTCGTAAGTATACATTGCATTATGCATTCTGTTTCACCAAAAATTGCTCTTGTCAACTATAAAAATTAAAAAAACACCTATTGCTTTTTTTGAAGACAAAGCGGTTTGGCTTTCAATTCAAGTAAACGATCTTTAGCTAACAATAAAGTTGTTAGCTAAAGATCGTCCCCTGCAGATGCGGAACAACTTTTCAACTTCGCCCAACATTAAATCAAGTTGAATGCAACAACCCACCTCTACAAACCCAGATTTTTTAACACTTCAGAATAAAATTCCCATTATTATCTAATAAGTTAAAATTTAACATTTTAGTTCAAGAAATGTCTCGGTAGATGATTAATGAATCAACTTTCAGTCAATAAGCCGATATAGTGACTTAAGCAATGTCGAACGGTGCATACTTTTTTCAATGATCTTCCAAAAAAATCGAGTAATTTATCTTTGGACATGGCAATAGTACATTTTGAGACCACAAGTTATCTAATAACTTTCCTTTAGAGCCAATTAGCTGGCGCTTGCTAAATCCTGGGCTCTAGCAACATTTATTGCACAAGTAATATTCTGTAATTATAAACGTACCACTTAAACTTATTCATTATGTATAGAAACCAATCAGGAGGCGTCGAAACTTGGTAAGAAAATAATTCATGAAGCCATGGAGTCTGTTGCTATACATAGTCATAATTATTTCCATAAGGTAGTATTAGATGGTAAAATATACTTGTTTAAACACTGGCGGTGAGTAGCCAGTGAATTTATCGATTTAAATTTTCAGGGTCGAAATATACTCTTCAGATGACGTTGGTTGATCAAAATGCAAGATCTATGAAGTAGTTTTTTAATTCATTAAGTACATTTATAATGAGACATTTTGACCCTGAAAATTCAAAGTAATTATTTTCATATATACAATTGAAGGAAGCTACGCTGACTCGAGGCCAGCTAAAATTCCATTGCCAGAATTTTGTTGAAACAAAAAATTTTAACAATCAAATCCGTATTCATTTTCCGAGCAATCCAACCAATCACTGGATGAATAACTTTATTTAATATCATTTTTAGAACTTGCGATCAAAAATTCATGACGTGAATTTTTAACAACAATTTGTCACCACTAATATTCTCGTCACCACAATTTGCCACAATAATAATTTGCCTGGCTCAATTACGGGGAGCTTTGATGAATAAAAAATTTAGGATGGTCGTTCGATTCTGTTCTTTTCATAATATTTTTATGAAAAATTTGTCATTTTCCATAATTTACTTGTTACCACAGCTAAGTTTAGAATTTTAAGTCTACTCACATTAATAACGTGCCTGTCTGGAGGGAAATTCGAGCAGCTCCGAAATATTCGTAAATCCTTGTTTCTTAATGGTTTTTGGAAAGTTCTATCTTATTATTCACGAGGACTTGTAATGTAGATATGAGTATTGCATTCTACGCTTCTCATTTTATCAGGTTTCAAAAAAAGTTGCCAACAAGGATGTTCTATTCGAATTTAGTTGCCTCAACTTCAGTGTAGCCATACTGAAAGTTCTTTATAATATAATAAGACATCATCAATCGACATCACCATCATGAAAGCTGCACAAAGTGCACATTAAATGAGCACCATGTTCCTCTTCAGTGTAAACATACTGAGAGTTCTATGTTCCCAAAATTACACTTTGGTAATCAGTGTCACCATCATGACGACTACTCATTAACATTTAATTCAACGTCAGTGTTGCCGTCATTCGAGTTAACGTTCACTTCGCAGCACCTCCTGAAGCAGCGTTTGCATCAGAGGCATCCCCGCTACCCGCCGCAGTTCCAGCAGCGGCAGAAGCTCCTGCAGCGGCGGAGGTACTCGCTCCCGCGTCCTCTGTTGAGACAAACGCGATTAAACACGATTGATTTTATTTAGTTCCCTACCTATATAATTTATCTCAATGTTCAATAGTGGTCTTTCATGATTAAAAATAACGGTTTAATTCACAGCCGGCGCAATAAATGAACCAGATAAAGAATATCGCAAATATCAAATATGTATGTTAATTAGTATGTTAATTAGTATGTTAATTAGTATGTTAAGTATCAATTAAGTATTAATATCAATTAAGTAGGTAATTGTGCACCGCATGAGAGTTTGCTGAGCGCGTCGGGCAGGTCGGCAGCGCCCGGTGCGTCGTGGCCGTGTCGGATGTCGGGCACCGCGTTTCGTCGGCCTGTCCTGCCGCTGGCGATGAACTCGCTTACGTCATCTGCTGGCGCGGCGGCCGCCATCACAACGCATCACAACCCTGCAACACGTTAGAGACACGTCACAACCCTGCAACACGTTAGAGACACGTCACAACCCTGCAACACGTTAGAGACACGTCACAACCCTGCAACACGTTAGAGACACGTCACAACCCTGCAACACGTTAGAGACACGTCACAACCCTGCAACACGTTAGACACACGTCACAACCCTGCAACACGTTAGAGACGCGTATCAACCCTGCAACACGTTAGACACACGTCACAACCCTGCAACACGTTAGAGACACTTCACAACCCTGCAACACGTTGCAGGTGGTGCATCACTAACTCTGTCAATAAACGGCTAGGAATATGAATAATTCTTAATAAATTTTATGATATAATTAAAAAAAAAAAATAACAGTAGTAGCAATAATTGAGGTAATTTAGGAAATTATTTAGTAATCGAATGATAATTAGTATATGATCACGATATAAATGAGAAAGACTTTGTTTTGCATCTATATTATCATTTTATTTACACTGTCAAAAATCCTACTGAATAGGTATGGGCCTTGTAAAGAAAGATGCAAGCTGATGTAAATTCGAGAATAAATCCGGTTACCCTTTCAATTTAAAACTTTGCGTTAATTCTGGGTGCTTTGGTATTTATTAAAATAACAATTTCAACCAAAATTAATTTTTTCATTTTATAATACGTAGAAAATCCTTTTTTAAGGTTTCGACTTGAACGTGTTTTTGCTCAAATTATTCAATAATTTTTAAACTCAAAATTGAAATCAAGTTCAAAACTTTATCAATAGCAAAATTTGAATGTGCTAGAATTTTGACATACATACAACATAGTTTAAATTGGAAAAACTATGTGATACAATAAAAAGTTCAAATAGACACAAATTATCGCATGCGATGTCAGTCAAGTCACTCTATCTCAGTCAAGTCGAAAAAATTATAACTCACCACTCACTGCAGTGAGTGACAGAGAGCGCATTTTCTCGTCGCCGAAAACTTGAGGTCACGGACGGACGGACGGACGGACAGACAGACAGACGGACATGTCAAGCACAATAGTGCATTTTTCCATATATGAGAAAATGCGCTAAAAACGCGTTCAACAAAATGTGTATCCCATTTAAATATTTAGCGAGTCGGGCTCAGGTTCCTGCAAAATTATTGCACAAGTCGGAATAATGTGATTTTACCAATTTTGTAGAAACCAATTTATCTCTGATTCTTCATTGATGAGCGGCTACCAGCAATTCGTAAATATTCACTGATTGCTGACCGATAACACCGATTGCCATTTTGATTTTGTTACATTTAAAAATATTTCTACACACAGATCAAAATAAAAAAAAATTCTAACGAACCAAGCATACGAACCATCCTAACGATAGGAACACATTCATGTTCCTATCGCGTAATTTTGTTGTTGTTCATAACGTAGGAATTACCTACGTCACTGCAGCCCAACTACGAATCTAAATTATTCCTCCGTAAAGACCGAGGAAAGAAATGAAAGTTCCAAGAAGTTGGGCTAACTTTGAGCCGCCAGGCTTAATTGGCAAACTGCATGGCCCCCTGAAGATTCACGAGCATCGCTAATGGGGAATCTATTACAACCTGTGACGTCACAGAGGGGAGACGGGCTAACGACACACGTTGTCGTCGCGCTGGATAAAAGGGCCTTGATTAAGCTCAAAATTTGGGAACGGTTGCAATATATTAATTTTAATGCATCAGTGAAGCATGTCAGTCACAAATGACTAATATTAACTTATGATTACTCAGCCTTACTCATACACTTTTGCCGGCAGTGTGGATTGGAAGGTTTCGGAAATGTTTGATTACGTTATTGGCCAGTGCCAATCAAAGAAATCCATGAGATACATTCGCAATAATTCTCAAACTGAATGAAAAATTTATATTCCTTGTACTAAATTGGGATCTTAAAATTTGACCTTGGAGCGGGATATTGGGATTTACAATCGAGTGACGTAATTATATCATTTTTCAATCTATAAATTAATTAAATTCCATTTAAAGATCCTGAAGCTTTTGATCTTTTTTATTTAATGACGTCAAACCATTTATAGCTGGATTGATAACAACAGAAAACTCAATACCTAAAGAAAGAACATCAAGATTTCGAGTAAGACAAACCTCAGGTATGTTCAACCTACCTAATAAAAACTAATCAACGAGCTTGAACTTTGAATCACCTATAAACCGATCTACATGCAGATACAGCATCATTTAACTACACATTTTTCTTATAAACCGAAGCTAATTTTTTCCTATTAATTTGGCCCTTTTCAGTTTTGTTCAACCGACACCGACTACCATTAGCGGCAATGTGTAACTCCCGTGAAGCTAATCTAATTAGACGGTGTTAAAGCGGTAGCCATCTCATTAAGCTTCAATAGAGTGCTCTCATTAACGGGGCTTGCGTTCAGCTTTTGTCTTCAAGACATCGACCAATCAATAAAGACTCGAATAAAAGTCAGCAAAATAGAAGTCATAAAAAACGACGCTTGCAAACGAAGGAACCGATGAGTACAACAAAATGAAGCACAAAAACAGAAACCACAAGTAAAATAAATTGAAGCCATTAATTTACAAATGACTACTGATATATATATACGCACTAGTTTTACAGGTGACGCATTTTAATTATAAAAAAAGTTATATCTTATTCGCGTGTAGCGATAATTTTTTGGAGAATTTTTATATGTAGTTCTTCAAGTCGATGCCTGGCTAAAACTTGTTCAGTTCTGATAAAATAAAAGCGAAAGAACTGTGAGTTATAAGTTGAATTTATTTTTAATATTGAAATGTTTTCCTTTCAGCCAGTCTTCTGATAATAAAAAAACTTCCAAACGATGGCTGCATAACTAGACGGCATGTCAGTTACGGATGCAAACTTTTATCTCATGTTACGATGGATCGAGCAACATTTTCTGAACTATTGTTCTCCATTCTCCATGCTTGCACTTAGAAAAATAGGTGAAACTTTGTCTAAATGGCGATTCATTTTTTACTTTAGTGTGGACCATCCTGACCAAGTTTAGCCCAGTAATAGGGCGTATTTAAGGGCTATTTGGACAATGTAAACCATTCATTTTTATGAGTGTGAATCCTAACGCTATTAACTGGTGCTCTGCCCTCCTACGAAATAAAGCAAAATAGATATTCAGCACAAAGATATTTATGTATGATGGCCGGGAAATTTGAAGCTATCTGCGCGGTACGTTTTTTAGAACAAATTTTTTTAACGTCTTAATTAACAGGACGTCAATAAACGTTGTTGCGGGGGAGCGACACAACACGTTACCTAAATAGCTATCGGATTTATCATCGAAGGTTCAAAAGAAAAGATGAAATGACTATTATTTAATGAACAAAGATTCAGTGAAGGCAAAATGGCATAAAGAATATTCAATATACAAGGCGAAGTGCGAGTTGAGAACTTCTTGTGTTAACAAAGAAAAAACGGTTAAGAAATTATCAGGAGCAAAAATTTTAACAGGAAAAATATGGTTCAGCTGGGCCCAACCGTTAACATTGCCGGCGCTTGTTTGATGCGAAGTTACATGTTGATATAAAGTACAGGCAATTAGACGAAAAAAAGATAGCAGAGGAGTGCTGTGCTGAAGGCGACCACGCTGGGACTCGTTTTTTTCCAACGCTAGCCAACAAGTTGCAACCTCCTACCACGCAGGTCGCAGATAAGGAAGTAGACTTGAACATGACCAAGTACAGGCGAAGCACAGCGCCGGTAGCGACTCCATCGTTGAGGCTGGGTCTCTGGGATTACCACCCGGCAACAGCCCCGGTCCATGTTCGGCGACAAAGGTGGAGCAAATTATCAAGATCTTGGTTTGGCATTAATGGCGGACAGCACTGTCGGAGGTGAATTGGGGAAAGGTTACATTCCATTTCAGTTCAATTAATGCGTTGGAAGAAAACAAGTGACCCCGAAATTTGGTAGAAAGTCGGGCCGCTACAACGTTTTTTGCTTGTTATCAAAATTCAATCATGAGTTCAGTCGAACAGTTCATTGGCCTATCGCTCTTGGGGAAATATGCATTTAGGGAATTTTTATTTAGGGAAATTTCAGCCAGTTGAGTTGGGTTACTGAGGACTATTCATTGGCAATACCAACAGCATCTCAAAATTTACTAAAATGATCAGTCGTTTAGCGGCCAACTTGACGTAGGGCTCATAATTGATGAAGTTTATTTTCTAATAATAAAATTCATTTATTTTATTTTCGAGCAAAAGCCGAAAGTTTCCTCTTATATTTGAGAAATGAAATTAATCACTCTTTTTTATGGTGTCTAGTGAGTAATAAATATATTACATATGATAATAAATAGATGATATAATTGTTACGTTGAAAAAATATTTATTTGTGTTGGTCCAATGCTATTATGTAATCAATGAATTTATTTATTAAATTTTATTAAACACTCTCATTCAACAATATTGCACAATTGATTGATAGAACTAAATACCGTTACTAAGCCCATGCATAGCTAACGTCAATCCATTCTTCAAATAAACAAGAGCTTAATAATTTCAAAATTACTTATCGTATTTATTTTTTCAAAGTTTGTTCACAATTGATTGATAGAACTAAATACCGTTACTAAACCCATGCATAGTTAACATCAATCCATTCTTTAAATAAACAAGAGCATAATAATTTCAAAATTACTTATCGTATTTATTTTTTCAAAGTTTGTGGGCTTGAAGCCTGGCGCTGCAAATATATCGGGGCAGTTAAGGTTCAATATTTATTGTTCCGGGATATTACCTGGACTTTATTACCGAGAGTTCCGCGTTAGTTAAGAGTTTGAACGGATATTTCTTTAATTAACGCACTTTAGTTTTAAAAATATTAACTAAAATCAGGATGAGAGGATTCTAGAGACGAGATTCGGAATAACAGAATTCTCATATTGTAGGCATGGTTTATCCTGGTCAACGGCGGTTTAAACTGATAGTTAATAATAATAGAATTGTAAAAAAT